TGCTAAAACACAGGTTGCCTTTAGTCATTCTCTTCTCCTTATATAAATATGAGACATCTGACTGGAGTAGAGTACCTGCTTTCTTTTGACAGGTGTACATCTGTGAACCAATCAGGAAACAGACGGCACTTTAAGTATTTAAAATAGAAGAACTTTAATACAGGAAATTGATTACACAGGTGATGGAATTGCTGAGGATTACACAGGGAGCTGAGGTTGCTCAGAAATTAGCATCAGCAGGAGGCTGTTGCCATGTCTCCCTTGGCTGCAGGCACACAGGAAAGAAGTGATGTTATCAGAATCCAGGAGCTAGGATCACTTGGAACTATTGTGAGCCAGCCTTCTATAGAAGAGATGCAACTGTCTCTATAGCCACCACACAAAACACAAAAAGAGGGAGAAAGTACTCTGGCTTCCCTTCCTTCTTCCCCTCTTCCAGTTGCTTGTCCACTGGTGCCTCCCACTGGCTGCTCATTGCTGGTAATCAGCTTGCTTGGGAAGCAGTCTGGAGGAGCCAGCTCCCCTGTGATACAGAACAGAGCAGGAGAAAGAAGAATGTATCTGACGGCAAAAATACCAAGGATTGTGACTAAACAATACTTTACTTTTAGAGACACTATTTGGTTTCTTCATATTTTTAAGTTAACTTCTTCAAGGTATAATTAAAGCATGTTACATAAAATAAAATGCACCCATTTGAAGTACACAATTTGATGACTTTGGCCAAATAAATACACCCACATTACTCCCACTACAATTAAGATATGGAGTGTTTTATTTCCAAAAGTTTCTTTTTGCTCTTTCTCCACCATCCATCCCCACTTTAGATAATTTTGATTGACCTGTGTTCCAGTTCACTTATACTTCTTTTTGTAGTATCCAAATTTTATGTTATGCCCATTCAATAACATTTTTTGAATTTTTAAATTTTTCAGGTTTAGCACTTCTAGTCATTTTTGTTGTGAGAGTTTCCATTTATCACAAAGTACCTTTTATTTCTTTACACATACATATATTTATAGAAAAATATAGTTCTAATAGCTGTTTTGAAGTTCTAATCTGCTAATTTTAATGTCGTTTATGTATCTGGTTTTATTGATTGTTTTATCTTGATTATGGGCCACATTTTCTTGCCTTGTGCAGATCTCATAATTTTATTGTGCTCTAGATATTTTATCTAAGAGAACAGTGGAGATGGAAGTATAATTTCAATTTTTAAGTTATCCTGAATATCTGAAACGTTTCTTAGGTTGGATAATTAGCATGAATGGCTGGTTTTTTTCATATTTCTCGTACAGGATAGCTGGGTTGGGATTGGACTCTACCTTTAATTAAAATTAGTTCACTTGTAATTAACCCAACCTCCAACCTCATGCCCCTCTGTCACCTTTTTTATCTTGGCAGTATTTGAGCAGAAAAGGTTTGGGGCTGCAGTTTCTGATACCTTTGGATTGAGTTTTTCAGGATCCCAGAATCTAGTGATTTGATAATGCACATGATATATTTCTATTTTTACACCTCTCCTTTACTGTGGCTTTCTTGGCAAAATTCAGGAGGCAGGTGTGGGGCAAGAAATTGTTAAGCCACTTGGTTTTGCTTGGGGACCCTTTCAGATTCCATTCTATCCCTAAAGGCCATGCTATTGTCCAAAGCTTGGCTGATTTTTCTCCTTGCTGTGTGTTAAAATCATATGAATTAGTTCCTCTTTTGTGGGAAAGCCATCAACCAGATGCATAGGTTCATTATTTGTTTTGCCCCAACTACAAATTCAGGTGGTATGTTCATTAGCAAGCAGTGTTTTTAGGAAACACTGTTTTTAAATTTTTATTTCATTTTCTTTTATAATTATGTAAAATTGTGTAGTTTCAAAGTCAAATTCCAAGAAGTGTAACCTCTGTCCTTGTCCCCTTCATCATGTTTTCTCCCTCCACCTATGAGTATCCACTTCTTTTTACCTGTTGGTACATCCTTCCATTTTGAAGACATAAAAGCAGATACATATATTTATTCACATCTCCATTTTCTGAAATAAAAAGGCAGCATTCTCTGCACAGTATTCATTACCTTTCTTTCTTGTCTGAACAACATATTCTGGAGATCTCTCCATAGCAGTGTTATAGAGGTATTCTTTCATTTCTTTTTACAAATGTTTAATATTTTATAATGTGAATATGAATATCATTAGTCATGGTTGATTTAATCAGTCTCCGCTGCTGATGGACATTTGTTTCCAAATCTCCATAGGAACATTTAACATTTCACAGCCACAAACTCAGGTTATTTTGTGGCAAGAATTATTTTAACAACTGTCTAAGGAATCCATTTCCTGTGTGTAAATGAACATTTTACCATATAATCTAATAATAGGGAAGCCTGTGATTTATGAATATAGAAATAATTTTCTAAATTTCCTGTTTGGGTCGGTATGACAGATAAGAAAACAGGACTTAACTAAGGCCCTCTGTTGTTGGAGGATGGCAAGGCATTTCAGGTCAAGAAATGCCAAGATACATTTCTCAATTCATTTTGGCTTCAAATATTTTCTAAAGAAACTTTTATCAAACTATCTTATCCACATGATTCAGGCTTAGGTTCTAAAATCCTTGCTCTCCGTCCAGTTACAGGAGGCTGCCATGTTATTTTTGTCTGTCTTTCCATTTACATTGATCTCTTTACGCTGTCATCCACAGTGTAGGTCTAATTTAAAGGGAAAGGAACAAGTAGGGAGTGAGGAGGATTATATGAAATTTACTGGTGTGGATCTTTTTTTAAAACACATTTTATGGATTATGCTATTACAGTTATCCCAATTTTTCCCTCTTTGCCTCCCTCCACCCTGTATCTCCCATTCCCTCCAGCAATCCCCTCCCCCCAGTTCATGTCCATGGGTCATGCATGTAAGTTTTTTGGCTACTCCATTTCCTATACTTTTCTTAATATTCCCCTGTCTATTCTGTACCTACCAATTTGTACTTCTTAATCCCTGCACCTTTTCCCTCAATCTCCCCCTTCTACCTCCCAACTGATGACCCCCAAAATGATCTCCATATCTATGATTCTGTTCCTGTTCTGCTTGTTTGCTTAATTTGTTTTTTAAATTCAATTGTTGATAATTGTGACTGTATTGCCATTTTAATGTTCATAGTTTTGATCTTCTTTTTCTTAAATAAATCCCTTTAACATTTCATATAATAATGGCTGGGTGGTGATGAACTCCTTTAGCTTTACCTTGTCTGGGAAGCACGTTATCTGCCCTTCCATTCTACATGATAGCTTTGCTGGATGGAGCAATATAGGTTGTAGGTCCTTGCTTTTCATTACTTTGAATACTTCTTGCCAGTCCCTTCTAGACTGCAAGGATTCTTTTGAGAAATTTGCTGACAATCTTATGGGAACTTCTTTGTAGGTAACTCTCTGCTTTTTCTCTTGCTGCTTTTAAGATTCTCTCATCTTTAACCTTTGGCATTTTAATTGAGATGTGTCGTGGTGTGGTACTCTTTGGATCCATCTCTTTTGGGACTCTGTGCTTCCTGGACTTGTATATCTGTTTCCTTCACCAAATTACAGAAGTTTTATTTCATTATTTTTTCAAATAAGTTTTTAATTTCTTGCTCTTTCTCTGTTCCTTCTGGCACCCCTATGATGTGAATGTTGGTACCTTTGAAGTTGTCCCAGAGACTCCTTAGCCTATCCATGTTTTTTTTTTTTTTTTGGATTCTTTTTTCTTCTTGCTGTTCTCATTGAATTTTTCTTTCTTCCTTATGTTCCAGATCATTGATTTGATTCTTGGCTTAATACCCTCCACTGTTGGTTCCCTGTAAATTTTTCTTTATTTCACTTAGTGTAACCTTCATTTCTGTCTGGATCTTTTTATGCTTTTGAGGTACCCAGTAAGTTTCCTGAGCATCCTGATCACCAGTGTTTTGAACTCTGCATCTGATAGATTGCTTATCTCCATTTCATTTACCTCTTTTTCTGGAGTATTGTTCTGTCCTTTCATTTGGGCCATATTTCTTTGTCTCCTCCTTTTTGCAGCCTCTGTGTGTTTGTTTCCATATTAGGTATAGCTGCTTTGACTCCCTGTCTAAGTAGTGTGGCCTGTTGTAGAAAAGTGCACCTGTAAGTTCGATGGAGCGGAGACTTAGGTTGTTTCCAGGGCGGGGCAACCCGTCTGAACCAGGTTGATGGAGTCTCCTATATGGTGTCACTGCTCTGTGGCTCTGTGTGGAGGAGGACTCAGAAAGGAGGCAGTGCTGCTGCCTGGCCTCTGAAGTTTTGTCTGGGAGGAGGCTGTGTCCTGGCACTCACCCTGATGGCAGGCACTTTACTTTCTCCCCGAATGTCACTGGTACCCTTCCAGCTGCTGACCTGGTGCTGGAGCCCAAAGAGAGTGAGTCTGTGTAAGTCCTAAGTCTGTTGCGGGCCCTTTAAGAGGAGACGCTTGAGAACCCCACAGTTTTTTCCACTGCCCCAACCCCCACTGATTTTTACAGCCAGACATTACAGAGATTTATCTTCCTGGCATTGGAACCTTGGGCTGGGCAGTCTGGAGCAGGGCTGAGATCCCACACTCCCGAAGTATCCCTCCCGATTTTTATCTGCCACACATGGGTGTTGGACCACCTGTTCCACATTTCCTCTTCTCTGCCCCTCCTACCTTCCCATCTGGATGAATGTGACTTCTTTAATTCTGTGGTTGTCAGACTTCTATACAGCTTGATTTTTGATGATTCTGGGTGATAATTGTTTTGTAGTTTAGTTGTAATTTTTGCTGTGGTTGTGTGAAGAGGCGAGTCATGTTTACCTATGTCTCCATCTTTCCCAGGAGTCTGGTGCGGATCTTAAGAAGCCGTTACATTTTGATACGAAAAATAAATATAATTTAGATTTTTTTCTGATAAAGCACAGTGTCCTCGTGCCCAGCCCCTCACAGAATGAATGTATATATGCTCCTGTGTGTTGATTTAGATATTCATGATCTCATCACATGACTCTTTCAGGAGAAATGGCAAAGGTGATCGTGAAAAGTCTCTGCAGGTCATACTCCAGGTCCTACAAAGCTGTGATCACCCATCCTCTGCCATGTTCTGCCTGTGTGGAATGATCTACAAGGACATCTTTTTGGATTCACACTGCAGAGATTACGCCAGCAGAGACAGCGCCATTGAGTGGTAAACCCTCAACCCTAGTCCAGTAGCATGTGTATCTCTACAAAGAACAGAATTACAGTGGCTAAAAATCCACATCTTTTCCTATGTATGTGTGTATGCTTGTTTGCTGGCAGGAAAAGAACATGCCATAAGTGTGGTTTGGGAATTTCCACATTCCTTCTTCCCTAAGGACACCATAAGAGACAGGTTTTTTTACTGGTGACATTCTTCCCACAATGTCACTCTTTCACGGGGTCTAAAGGAGGATCGGCATGCTCTTTCCCAGCTCCTCCTTCCAGAACCTTGTTCTCCCACTGTCAACGCATTGTCTCCTCAGTGAGTTATCCATCCATCCACCCATCCATCCATCCACCCAACCAACCAACCAACCAACCAACCAACAAATGTTTATTGAGGATTTTCTGTGTGCCAGAAACTTGTCTAGATGATGGGGATAAACACATAGCAGATGTGAATTCTCGCCCTCATGGAGCTTGCATTACTGGAAAAGGAAGCCAGAAAAACAAAATAAAATGTATAGGATGTGAACTGATGATGAGGGCTATGGGAAAAAGTTAAGCAGGGAGGGGAAAAGGAGGGTTGGGAGAAGTTGTCTGCTATTTTTGGTAGGGTGGTCGATGCAGGTGAGTAAAGATGTAAAGATGGTAAGAGAATGAGCCTTACAGATAACTGTGGAGAAAGTGTTCCAGGTAGAGGGAGACAGCAAGGACAAAGACCCTGAGGAGGAAGCATGCTGGACAAGCTCAAGGATGATAGGCACGAATTAGTGGAGAGTGGCAGGAAATGAGAGGGAAAATGACCCTTTTATTCTGAAGGAGATAATACAACATTGGAGTATTCTGAGCAAAGGAGTGAGAAGATCTGACATGCATTTTAATTGGAGTACTCTCACTGTTATGCAAAGAATACATTTTAGGGTGTGTATCAGCTATCATTTCCTGCATAAGAAACAACTCCAAAATCTAGTGGCTTTAAACAGTGATTCACATGATTATGTGGATTGGCCAGGCAGTACCTCTGCTGGTTCCATTCTCCAGGTGCTGGGCTCTCTCCTAAAGTTTCAGTCAGCTGGAGGGTAAGAGGGCTGGAAGGTCCAAGAGGGGCTCACACATGTTTGCCAGCTGGTGCTGAGTATTGGCGGTGAGCCTCCATTCTCTGCCATGTGGTTCTAATCCTTGTATACCAGCTTTCTCACAGGGTGGGCTGCATCCTGAGAGAGCAAAGGTGGAAGCTGCAAAGCTTCTTAAGGCTTAGGACCAGGAACTCATGCAAGGCCAATTTTACCACATGCTATTGGTCGAAGCAAATCACATGGCTGTCACAGTTTAAAGGAGTAGAGAAAGAGTCTACGTGTGGGTGGGAGAAATAGCAAAGCCATATTGCAAAGGTACATGCACAGTGGGATGAGAGGAATTTGTGGCCATTGAACAATTTGCCACAAGGGTAAGAGCAGAAGCAGGGAACAGAAGACTATTGAAATAATTTCAATATGAAATGAGAGCTGATGGTGACTTGAACTAGGGTTGTAGTGATGAAAATGCCAATTCAAAACATGGATGTCCTTTGAAGGTAGATCCTACAGCTCACATTATCCATTTCCATTACAAGAGCTCTTGGCATTGCTGTTCTATTTTGATTTAATTCTGACTACTTCTTTTTCTTTTCTTATCTATCATCCATCTATCTATCTGTCTATCTATCTATCTATCTATCTATCTATCTTTGTTCTCCTTTCATACATGTTAGAGGCTCTGTCCTGTACCCCCAGGTTCCCCATCCTCCAGGCCATGAACTGGTTCTGGGCTGTTGGATCAGTACTGGTTGGGGCCTGTTAGGAACCAGGCCACACAGCAGGAGATGAGCTTGAATATAATGTGCTTGAGTCATCCCAAAACCATCCCTCCACCCCTGGTTTGTGGAAAAATTGTCCTCCATGAAGCCAGTCCCTAGTGCCAAAAAGGATGAGGACCGCTGCTCTACCCTTTTCTCTCTGTCCACATACTCTTCCCTGGTGATCCTTGCCAGTCCCACATCTTGGGACCCCTAGCTGGTCTTTAGCTCAACCTCTGTTTTAAGCTGTGGCCTCACATTGCCCACTCTTTGTCCACCTGTTCTACCTTGAGATGGTGCTGGTATTTGAGACTAACCGTGTCCAAGGGTGGAGTCACTGTTCTCATCGCCACAAGGTGTGGCTTCCATTATCTTGCTTTCTTACTACCTTTAGCCTCCTAGACTTTAACTTTTAGTTGATGTTTGATAAGTTTCATTAACTTACACAATCAGTCCCCAATTCCAGCTCCCCAATGCCAACCCTTCTCTGTGTCTTTTCTCACTCCCTGCCAATCCTTTCCCATCACCCTCCTCCAATCAGCACCTTTTTTTTTTGTTTTACTATTTGTCAGGAATGTTCTAACAGTATCCCATATAGCTTTCCTCCTTGGTCTCTCTAAAGCCTACACTTCTAAAACTCAAAGACCCCACCATGACTGCCCATTCCCTAGTAAATAAAAATTCAAACTTAGATCATTGTTATGGGTGCTCTGCAAACTTTCCTTAACTCATCTCTAGTCCTGTTTTCTGTGGCCTGATATATGTCTGATTAAACTGAAGTTCTTAGGAGCTCCCCAGACTCCAGTCTCTGCTCCCACCCACCATTTTCTATGCTGAGGGTTCACTTTCCAGATCTCTGCTGTTATAATTCTAGCCATCTTCATGCCAATTCTGAAGATCCTAAGGATTACCCCATATGTCTTCTGTGAGTCCCTCTAGACATGTATTTGTGTGATTTTAGGATATTTATCACAGTCACGCTTCTATTTTCACTAATTATGTATGGATCTTATCACCTTTATCATAGTATAGGTTCTTGGAGGGCAGGGACCTTGTGTTATTCTTAGTTCAGTAGTACCTAATGCATTATACAGCAGAGAGGAATCACTCAGGGTGTGGAACAGAAGGGTAAGGAAGGGAAATTAACATTTGGTAGAGCCAAAATAGGAAGCTGTGTTCCCACCATTGTGGGCGAGAATTAAACCCCAAGGTCAGGAAATTACTATCTGTGGCTCCTTCAAGAAAGTCATAGGATCCTTTCTCCATCCACTTGAGAAAGTAGTAGCAGTGGGTACAGGAGCATATGAAGCTTAGTCTTCTGGTCAGGGCATGATGGCTCAGGTGAGACCTTAGGGATTGTCTGACCCAGGCCCTCAAGTACGAATGTGGGACATGTGGTTCAGGGAGGTATAGGGGTCTGGTCCAAGGTCACCGGGCTGGTCAGAGACAAACCTAGGACTACAATACTGACTCCAAGTTTGTCTTGTCTGCCCCCGAGCTGAGCCTGTTTGATTTATCAATAAGAGGCATAGAGAAGTCACTCTGCCCTCTTCCCTGATAACTTCTCATAGTAAAAGAAAATGAAAAAAAAAATCAAATACAGTAAGATATAGAACTAAAATCCCCAAAACATATGGGGGAAAATTTTTCATTTTTATTGGAATTTTGGTGGTTGGGGTTGGAAGGACTATCTTAGTGTCCTCTGTTCTGAGTGTACTTGTATTATGCCCTAAAGTTTATAAAACCAGATTTTAATGGCCTTAAATAAGTTCTTACTTCCACAGTTAGTATTTTGTTGGTATCTAATTCTCTTGACACACTAGTGACAAAACAACTTCTGTTTTAGAAGTCCTTGTCATACTTTATTGATCAGATTCTTTTTTCGCATCATGGTTACTCATAGTCACTTATGGAAGAGAAAGAAGCTTTTTATGTATAGAATAAAGAATAAATAGGAGAATTAAAAGTGGCATGGTTAACATTTTTGTATGTAAGTGGCATTCACAGTTTTGTATCTTTATCCTAATGTAATAGATTCCTGGCCCTTCTGTCACTTTATGCCACTGCTCTTACAGTTCTTTGAGCTCCAGGATTCTGGCAGTACTGCTTCATACATGAAAAAATGATTACATTTTGTGATATAAGCAAACAAACAAATGGCCTGCAGAAAAATAGCCTATAATTGATATAATTTCTTTATAATAAAAAATGTTCAACATACAAATGGGGTCTACCTCTAAAAATGAGATTTGGACATCAAATTGTGGTCTCCTTTTGGGAGTAGGGTTATAATCAGTTTTAAATTTCTTTTGTACACTAATATAGTTTTCTTATTTTATACAATGATCATGGTTTCTATTTGTTTTTAATCCTTATGAAAAAATTTTTCTGCTTTTTTTAAAGATTTATTTATTTATTTATTTATTTTTAGAGAGGGGAAGGGAGGGAGAAAGAGAGGGAGAGAAACAATGTGTAGTTACATCTCGCATGCCCCCTGCTGGGGACCTGGCCCACAACCCAGGTATGTGCCCTACAATGGGAGTCGAACCAGCGACCCTTTGGTTTGCAGGCCGGCGCTCAGTCCACTGAGCCACACCAGCCAGGGCTGATGAAAAAATTTTAAACTCCCTAGTGTAGGTCACCTGTGTTGCTACTGTGAAATTTTTAAGAAGATACTTGAGTGTTGCATGTAGTTGTTACAAAGATTGAAGGGAAAGCTGGAAACCGATAAATTAGAATAGTAAAAATTTTTACAAGGTTGGTTTGTGCCATTCGTTATTTACACATTTTTTCCTACCATAGTAAGATTATATATTAAGAACTGGGTGGTTCTGTGATTGCAGGTATCGCAAAGGGTTCGCGCTCCAGTCATCTCTTTATACCGGAGTTAACCTTGCAGTTTTGCTGACAGTCGCTGGACAGCAATTTGAAACATCCACGGAACTAAGGAATATAGGTAAAGCTGTTTATTTTGCAAATGTGGATGCTTTGGTAACAAGTTCAGCATTAAAAATTATGTTCAAGTAGCTAGCATTATATTTCGAAAAGGACAGTTACTCTTTGATGGCACACCTGAAACAGTAGCCAAAATAAAATGCCCATTTTTCTTCTTTCTAAAGGCTTCCAAAATATGATAGAAACTAGAAACATTTTTATAACTTTATCTAAAATTCATATTTTAAGGTGCCCAGCTGAACAGTTTGTTGGGAAGAAAAGGGTGCTTGGAGAAAATGAACAATTACTGGGATGTAGGTCAGTTCTTCAACGTCAGCTTGTTGGCCAGTAATATCGGGAAGGCCATCCAGGCAGCAGAGAGGTTGTTCAAACTGAAGCCTCCAGTGTGGTGAGTCCTGTCTGTGCATTATCATTATCCTCCTCAATATCAGATCATGTCCTGACACGTGTCTGCCAGGGAGAAGAGGTTTAAATGCAAAAAACAGTAGCAAGTTCTATGTTTCTCCTTCTGACTTCATTATAGCAATGTTAGGGCAGAAAGAACAATTCTGAAGGATCACTTGGTTTTATGTGAAGGAAAGGGAAGACAGACAGACACACAAGATATATCCCTACATGCTGTATCTCCAAGGTGAAACTCTCAGTCCTATTAATTTTTTCAGGTCATCCAGATCCTCAAGAGCAAAACATTCTTTGGTACTAGAATGTATTGTGATTCTGTGGGAAGGTAGATCATAAAGCTGAAAAACACAGCAAGAAAAAAGACACTCATCACAAATGAAAACTGGAACTAAAATACCAATAATAGACATATGGTTGAGAAAATGTGGCATAGCTATGGTCCTAGGTTATACAGCCATTAAAATGTACAAGAAACCATACTTGGAAACATGGAAATGTATTTATCATAGAGTAAGAAAAGCCAGCAGCTTTGGCATGCATTAGAATCACCTGTGTTGATTAAAAAACAGATTGCTGGGCCCACCCTTAGGATTTCTGATTCGAAAGGTCTAGTGTGGGGTCTGAGAATTTGCATTTACAAATTACAAACTGATGCTGATGGTCTGGGGACCACACTTGGAGAACCACTGTTCTATATGGACTTATCTTAATTAAAAATATGTATTTGGTATGTGACTCAAAAAAAAAAAAAAAAAGGTCTGAGCGAGTTAGGTAATACCTGACTTTCCCAATAGACATTAAGCTCCCTTAGAATTGTGCTTATTTCATTGATTGCTACTCTTTCATAGTAGATGCTCAGTAGATACTTGTTTTAATGAATAAATAATGAATGATGGTTTTCTCTGAAATATTGACAGTGGTTATTTCAGGGTGATAGCCTTATACGTTTTTAATGTTTTTTCCCTTATCTCTATTTTCTGACTTGTTGAAGATACATCTGAATTACTTGCACAATTTAAAGTTTTTTCCTTTTAATAACCTGTGTTGATCTTCCCACTCTTATTTCCCAGCCCAGTGGGCCAAACTGGACTCTGAAGTATACGAATCTCTTCAGTCACATCTAGTTTTACCTCATTTCTTCCCAGTTTGAAGGACTTAAATTTGGTCCCCAAACCATGCCAACCTCTGGAAAGTTACTCTGAGGCTGAGAGAATGCAGAGGCAGGCTGAGCCTCTAGCTCTCCCCGAGTGGCTGATGTTCCAGAATCATGATTTTAGCTGACTTTTTGGAGAGCAGGCCGGAGGCTTCAATACATTCCGATTACATCAGAGCTTGGGCTACATTACAGTGTTGATACCTACTGTTGTGGGTCAAGACCACCCTCAGGTTCATGGTTTGCTAGAAGGCCTCACAGACCTCAGAAAAGCTGTTATACTGTATAGAAGGATACAGATTAAAATCAGCAAAGGCAAAAGCCACAGCCAGGGAGACCAGGCACAAGCTTCCAGTTGTCCTCTCTTGTTGGAGTTGTATGGACAGAGTTTATGGTAATTTTCTCAAACAATGCCTGACAGCATGCCCAATGTATTGTGAACCAGGGAAGCTCACCAAGTCATGCTATACAGGGTTTTTATTGGGGTCAGTCACGTAGACATGGAGTACCCATGTGACTGACCTTAGTCACTGAGTCCCCAACCTCTCTGGAGATCACACCGATGCAGCATTGCCCAAATCCCCCAACATAAATCATATTATTAATATAAACTATCTGGCATTGCCCAAGGCTTTTATAATGCAGGCTATTCCCAGGACTTAGAGGTGATTTTCCTGCAGCCAATCTAAGGCCAGATCTTTCTTTGGAATGTGTAGAGTTTGGACAACCCAGGCTGGCTGAGTTAATCCTGTACTGCACAGTGCTCAAGCAAGTCATTCAGAGTCTAACTGCTCTGTCTTCCCAGGATAACTCCAGACTATCCTCAAAGGGCAAAATAATACTCTGATGCTTTCACCTGACCTGTCCCACTTCAGTGCCAGAGAAAATGTGACCACCACTGCCGGGCAATTATGTTTCAAAAACTTCATCTTGCCTGAGGAGAGTAAAGATGTGGTCAGATTCAAGATCTCATAACATTAAAATCTACCTGCTGAGATCGAATTTTTTTTAAAGAAAAGACAATGAATTTTACATTAGTGATTGCCAAAGGTCCAGGAGGAGTTGGGCATGAGAGGGATGTACACATGGCTATAGAAGGGAAACAAGAGGGATCCTTGTGGCTTTGGAAGTACTCTCCATCTTGGCTGTATCAAGACCAATATCCTGACTGTGATACTGCTCTAGAATTCAGTCAGGTGTTGCCATTGGAGTAGGGTAAACTGGGCCAAAGCAAGAGTACATGGTTCTTGGTATTATTTCTTACAACCATATGCAAATCTGCAATTACCTCAAAATAAAAAGTTGAATTAAAGAAAAAGACAGTGAGTTTGAAATCTTGTTATTTTGCAGTTGTTTTGAAATTCAAACTACTTGCTCTTGTTATTTCGAACAGTTAGCAAATGCTTGTCAGTCTCTGAACACTGTGTCCCAAAATTGAGGTTTAGACCATTGTTGGTAAAATGTCGTATTGTATGATTTTGTTGAGCAAGCTTATTTTGCCCACTATTTGGGTTTCTTTTAAGTGTATGGCTGCCAAATGATTAAGAAGCACTCACTGCACAATACGAATTTAAGTAAAACTTTCAGGAAACTTCTTTTGAAGGGAGTATAATTGAACTCAGTTTCTTTGGGAATCTAATTTACTGATGCTTGTGATTTTTCCCAGGTACTTGCGATCACTAGTCCAGAATTTGTTTTTAATTCTGCGCTTCAAGAAACCTATTATCGAACATTCACCCCGGCGAGAACGACTTAACTTCTGGTTAGATATCATTTTCGCAGCGACAAACAAAGTTCCTAATGGAGTCAGATTTCCAGTAAGAAATGCTAAATTCATTCCTTTGAGATAAAAAAGAAACTGGGGATTGGTGTTCATTACTGCAAGGAAAAAACTGTAAGAGTAATTTAAAATATTAAGCTATTCATCAGTCTTATGTGGAATCGAGTGATAGGTCAACTTACTAGAAAAAGTTGGCTGCATAGTTCATTCTTGAACAACATGAGTTTGAGCTGTGCGAGTCCAGATATATGTGGATTTTTTTCAATAAATACTGTATCGTCTAAAATTGTTTTCAACTGGATGTGATTTTTTCCTCCCAGAAGACATTTGGCAATGTCTGGGGACATTTTTGATTGTCACAATTGTGGGAAAGGTGTTGCAACTGGCAGCTCATGGGGTTGAGGCCACAGATGCCAAAGACAATTCCACCTCCCCAAACAGAATTACCTATCCCGAAATGTCAGTAGTGCCTAGGTGAAGAAACGCTGCTCTAGAACAATGCAGTACTAATAGTAAAATTTTGGAATTCAAAGCTTGTTTCCTGTTTAGCTCTGATTTGCTTTAGTGCCACAAATTACTTTTTAAAACCTTATTTAAAAGCAAAATTTTTTTTTATCATTTTAGTGAGTTTTTGTTGCAGTTTTATGACCATATCATAAGAAGGCATAAGTAAGATATCTGAGCATTCTGGAAATTGAACTTACATTTCATATTTATGCCATGAGATTTTGTGAATATGTAGCATTCAAGAATCTCATTAAACAACTAATAAAAGATTAATTTATTTGAAATGATTATGATAATTTTGTTCCTAGGCGATAAATATTAAAATCTTTTTTAAAATTATGAAATATTTTAAACCTGCTGAAAGGTAGGAAAAAATAATGGGGCAGACACTTGGGTAATCTCCACTTAGGTTTAGCAGTCTTAAACATATTGCTTTATTTGCTTTGGAAATTCACTTCCTATCTCCTTCCCGTATTGTCTCCCTGCCCCTTCCCTTCCTCCCCCTCTCTACCCCAACAAGATAAAACATGACTGATGTCACCTCACTCTTCATCCCCTTGCATTTTTTAGACTTGGTACCTATCTGTGATCACCCAGTTTACTTTCTCATTTCTCTGAAGAACTGCAACATTCCTCTTTTTTCTATCACCTTCCCAAGAAGGCCTTTCTTGACTGCCCTGTCTGAAGAAGTTTGCCCCTGCTCTCACCTTAATTCTGCCTTAATTTCTTCAGAGTTCTATATGATGCTATATTGCATATCCCTATCTGTTTGTTCCTTTATCTGCCCCATTAAAGCATAGACCTCCTGAGGGCAGGGACTTCTGTTGTGGGCTACTGTGTCCATGGGTCCTAGAGCAGCATTGACACACTGTACAGGTCCTTCATGTGTGTTTGTGGAATGCACAGCTTCCCACTTCCTCAGTGGGCAGGGCGACCTACGTTGTGTATTCCTGTACATTACAGAAATCTGTTCTTCTTCTAGGTTTTGGTGCTAGAACCATCCAAAGTCTATCGGCCTTCATATGTCTCTGTAAACAGTGAAGCTGAAGAGAGGACAGTTTCTCTGTGGCATGTCTCACCCACAGAAATGGTAAGAAAAAGATCACCAATAGCTCTCTCTTTATTTTGTATGATTTAATCAAAGATTTGATTCTTAAGTAGAAGAGTCTATGTTGTCCTTGAAAGAACAGGTAGCTGTGCCTAACTTCTGGGTTATGGGAGTAGATGTGAGAGTGACCACAGATGAAAGAAAAGAGGCAGGTTTTTCCATTTTATATACCACATGTTGCTGTGTATAATGTGTACTTTTTTTGCCCAAATTTTTGAGAGAAAAATATGGATGCGCATTATACATGGGTAGTACCTGAAATACCTTGTATCTGTTCTTATTATTTGTTACATAAAATTTCTTGTACCATAATATGTTAAAAAATAAGTGCTAAAATTCCTTTATAATACAAAAAAAACAAGTACTTAAATATAAATACATAAAAATTGAATTAAAAAATTAAAATGAAAGATTTTTTTTCCTTAAAGTTTGGACCAAAAATGTGGGTGTGCATTAATACATGAGTGTGCACCACATACAGCAAAATACAGTATTTATATCATATATTGTATGTATTTATATATATGTATATATAAATGAATACAGACTTGTTGGAAAAACGTTATACCATGAGGACGTAGATAAGGAGTAAAAGAAAAGTCCCTACAAATCTCTTAAACCTGGTCCCCATTCCCATCCCCAATGATTTAGTGGCTACCCATCTATATCTTTTTTCTAAACTGACTTATATGTGTATAATGTGTGTATACCTCCATACATTATATGCACACGCTGATCCACCTGATTTTTTAAGCGTAATATTCCTGACATCCTCATATCATGTGGTGCATTTTCGAGTATGGATGAACCATAATTTATTTTACCACTTTCCCTGCTGATTTAGGTCTGTTTTGCTTTCTACCCAATAGTAGATACACCAGTGCACATTCTGGTGGTTACACACTACTACACTTGTATAGCTGTTTCCAGAGCAGGGATTCCCAGAAATAGAATAGACCTGCTGAGTTCAGGACTGCACATGTTTAAACTTCAATAGCTGCTGTCAAATTTGAACTTTCCAGTTTTACTCAAAGCAACCATATAGGAGAGGAAACATTTGAATTTAATTGCCCATTAAAGAGATTATAAAAATGTTTGGTCAGGCCTGATATTTGTGATAACAGCTGTATTTTCATATCTATGTGTCTAAAGCACTTCACTAGCTTTTTTTCTTTAATATTTTGTAATAAAAAGATGTAGCACCTTTGACAAATGCGTTAGATAGATTTATTTGCTATGTATATGTTTTAATGGCATGTGCAGAGTTCTGCCATTAACTTGGCAAAGAAGGATTATTTTTTTCCCTGGAGACAAGAGTGTAGAAAAATTATCTTAATCAACTGAGAAGCAGTATCTTAAAAAATAAAAATGCGCAACACTGGACAATAAGCAGAGGCTCAAAATCATATTACAAATTCCTTATTAGAAGTAGTAAGGATACAGTTTCCCATTGTTCAGTTGATGTGAAATTTTAGCTATGCTAGATAAATAAATTGCAGCCATCGGCTATACAACATAGTGCTTGTAGTTAACAGTATGGTATTATGCACTTCAAAATTGAACAGGGTAAATCCCACATTATGTGTTCTTAATGCACTCACACAAATAAAAACAGAAACCAAGAGACAGAAGGACACTTTGAGGGTTGATGGCTACATCTATTACTTTGATTGTGGCGATGATATCAGTGGTGTTTGCATACATCCAAACTCATCAAGTTATGCATATTAAGTATGTACAGTTTTTAAATTTATTTTTAAATTATATTTTATTGATAATGCTATTATAGTTATCCTGATTTTTCCCCCTTTGCTCCCCTCCATCCAGCCCCCGCCACTCCCTCAGGCAATCCCCCCACCATTGTTCATGTCCATGGGTCATGCATATAGGTTCTTTGGCTACTCCATTTCCTATACTGTACATCCCCATGGCTAGTCTGTAACTACCTATTTGTACTTCTTAATTCCCTCACCTTTTCACCCATTCTCCCCCTCCCCCCCGCAATCTGGCAACCTCCCAGTAACTTATTTTGTCTTGCTTTTAGGAGTCTATCTTTAACCTTTGACCTTTTCATAATGATGCATCTTGGAGTGGGCTTCTTAGCATCCTTCATAATTGGGACTCTCTGTACTTCCTGGACTTGCATGTCTATTTCCTTCACCAAATTAGGGAAGTTTTCTTTCACTATTTTTTCAGTTAGATTTCCAATTTCTTGCTCTTGCTCTTCTCCTTCTGGCACCCCTATGAGATGAAAGTTGGACCTCTTAAAGTTGTCCTAGAAGCTGTTTATAATACCTTCATCTTTTGAATTCTTTTTTCTTGTTCTGCATAGCTGTTTTTTGCTTCCTTATGTACCAAATCATTGACTTGATTCTCGGCCTCATCCACTCTACAGTTGTTTCCCTGTAAATTGTTCTTTATTTCAATTAACGTATCCTTTTTTTCTGACTGGGTCTTTTTTATGCTGCTGAGGTCCTCACTAAGTTCCTTGAGTGTCCTTATAAACAAGTGTTTTGAACTCTGTATCTGACAGATTGTTTATCTGCATCTTGTTTACCTCTTTTTCTGGAGTTTTGCTCTGTTTTTCATTTGGACCACGTTTCTTTGTCGCCTCAATTTGGCAGCCTCCCCGTGATTGTTTCTTTGTATTAGGTAGAGCTACTTTGACCCTGTGTCTTGATAGTGTGGCCTAATGTGGTAGGTGTTCTGTTGGGTTCAGTGGCACAGCCTCCTCCATCACCTAAGCTGAGTATTTGAGGTACATCCTTTGTGTGGGCTGAGTATACCCTCCTCTTGTAGTTGATCTTTGGTTGCTGTTGACAGGTCAATGAGAGGGATTTACCCAGGCCAGTCAGCTGCAAGGACTGGCTGTGACCAATGACCACCAACCTCTGCCCTCTGTGGAGGACCAACAGCTTACCAGCTCTTTGGGGGGAGGGCTCAGCAAAGAGACAATGGCCTCTGCTCACCCCAGTACCAGACACTTCAGTCTCTCCCTGTATACCACTGGTACCCTTCAAGCTGCCAACCTGGTGCTGGAGCTCAGAGGGAGTGAGTCTGAGTAGGTGAGTCCATGTGTGGGTTCTTTAAGAGGAGCTGCTTAGGACTCCAGCAACTTCCTCCACTGACTCAATTCCCGTTGGTTTTCACAGCTAGAAGTTGTGGGGACTTATCTTCCTGGAACTAGAATCCTGGGCCAGGGGGCATGGTGTGGGTCAGGGACTCCTCACTACTGAGAGATCCCTCCTGAATTTTTATCCACGTGGGTATGGGGCCAGCCCATTCTACGTCTGTGCCCTTCCTGCCAGTCTGGATGAATGTGGTTTCTTCAATTCTGTAATTGTAAGGCTTCTATTCCACTCAATTTCTGATGTTCCTGAGTGATGGTGGTTCTATATTTTAGTTGTAATTGTGATGTGTTGTGTGAAGAGGCAAGCCATGTCTGCCTATGTCACCATCTTGCCCAGGAGCTGTGCAGTTTTTAATATATCAATTATATCTCAGTAAAGGTATAAAAAAGAAATAGTTATAAATGACATCTCAAGTTGTCTTAGTCTACTTAAGATGAGAGCACACGAGAACTCTCCTATCTCTTCTTATAAGGGCACTAATCCTATCATGAGGGCTCTACGCTCATGACCTAATCACCTCCCAAAGGCCCCACCTCTAATTGCCATCATATTGGGGGTTAGGGCTGCAATAGATGAATTTTCAGAGACACAGATATTTGTCCATAACACAAGCCAAACCCAGTAAACTTGCGTAATATTTAACAAAGAAGCAACCTCCTTCTCATTGATGATAGAGTCAGCAACCATTAGTGAAGATGAACTGCCATAATGTGCTTGGGATTTTCCCCCCTGCCCTGTGTGTGTTAAATATTTGAGTGCAAAAGAGAAAAATTAAAGATACAATAAAATGCATGCATGGTTTACATACAGATATACCTCATTTGAAGAATGCATGTATTTAAAAAAATACAATAAAGATTAAATTTTTAAAAAAAGAATGCATGTGTTTCTATTAAATTTGCCACTTTGGTTTTTTTAATCTTTTATTAGTATTACATATACACAAAAATGTGTATCAATCATAAATTGTGGATTTGGACTAAGTGAACACATTTAGGTACTTGGTACAGGTCAAGAAAGAGACTTCACCCGTGCCCCAAAGCCCTGTTTGTGCTTCCTTTTGCCCATCTCAAGGCACTATCTCCATGAAGCACCCTATTCTTGGTGTTGAAATTTCCATACTAGAGACCAACTTTTCTTTTTTTCTTTGTCTCATTGATGCCACTGTGATACAAGAGAATTTTCAAAATTTTAACTTGTAATCTCACTATTCCATTGATATAGGTACAAAATACCCCATATTTTGAGAAGTACTTGTAGAAAAACTAATTCTACTAAAATGACTCTTCATACAAATGATTTTGGTCTCATGGAATTCTACAGACTTTGCCCACTTAATTTGAATCTTATAATGGTTGCTGACCCTTAGTGGAAGTTTCCATTGGTACATATACTACAATAGCTTACTAGTTGTAAATGTTTTACTTTGTTTACATGTGGTATATAATAAGAAATGGAAAAAAACTACATAAGCAGCAACTGTTAGTTTTCCTTGACTGATGAAATGTTTTACACAAGTGCTTATAGTTGTCAGAGCAAATGTCTAAGACATATATAAATTGTCTTTTTTATTTGAGAGGAAGCCTTTGCTTTTGCCTTCATGTGCAGTTTTGAAATTCTGCAGATTGTGAAAGCAAGCAGATTGGCCTAGAGCAGCAATTTTCAAATAGTGTGCTGCAGCACCCTGGTGTGTCACAAGAGGAACACTGGGGTGCTGAAGGAACTTTTAAAACATGCAGTACCTGACTTTAGTCAGGTGCACTGACCTCTTTTCCCTTAGATTGTCAAATAAAAAAATAAGAACAACCAACACAACAGCCATCCAATGTGAATGAATCAAAAATACACCTA